GAGCTGAATCCACGGACCCCAGCTGAGACAAGCGATGTAGAGAAGATTCTCTAAGGCGATGCTGCGCTGAAGCGGCGGCGGAGGATTCACACAGTGGTACCCACAGCAGAGCAAACCCGCTGCTTCGCCCCACAGGCGGGCGGCGTTACAGCCTGTGCTGGGGTGCGCAAGAGAGGTACATGTCCCCCTAGACATTCTGTGGGGAAGGCAAGGAAGTTGCAGGCATGTCAAGCAGAGCCAAAAGTTAGGAGAGCTCGGCCACCCTGGAGCAGAAACGCTTCAGTGACAGCAGAAAGTAGCCAGGCAAGACAGAAAGCACAGAGTGCAGCCAAGAAAAGGGAAGTCTTGAACCCAGGCCAAATGATTAGCTCAAGTCATTAGCCAGCACAGACGATGGTCCGGGCTTGTGCCAGCAGCGGAGTGTGCTGGGCTGCGACGCTGGGCTGAGGTCCAGCGAGGCTCACCTGGAGACACACGCAGCGGGTCCGTCCCACCGCCCTGTACCATTCCCGAGAAGCAGGAGCTGGCTACGCTGCAGCAGCTCCGAGGGTGCCAAGGGCTGTTTCTGGGGCCACGTGGGTGCTAAAGGGGCTGTGCTTTCCAACGGAAGCTTCCAGGTGTTTTTTGGTGCTCTCTCCACCAACACTGCCCTCCTGGGGTCTGCCATGGTCTTGAGAGAAGCAGCTGGTGGGTGATAGGGACTCCCATGTGTCCTGCCTCAAGGTATTTCCCAATCCAGCCATCCCTTGGCACCCATCCTGTCCTAAAGTTCTCTAGGCCAGAGCCTCCTCTCAGCCCTTTCTTCACCTACATGTGGTTCCCAAGTGCTCTCCTTGCCCCATCCTCTGTTTTGATGGCTGAAACCCCTTGGCTTTGGTGTGTCCTCCTTCCACTTGCCCAGACCCCCATGTCCCTCCGCTTGCCTCCCACCCTGCTGGGGGTTGCAGACCTGCTACTTGGCTGCAGCTCTCCAAGGAGTGATGGATGAGCATCTGATCTCTTCTGAGGATGTACTGTAGTGGGACCAATGTAAGGTGTGTCCCAGAACTGCATCAGACCAAGAACCCCACAGCCTCCTCTGCCCGGTGTCAGCCTAAGACCCAACAGAGCAGTGAAAGAGAGCAGCCTTCGGGGCTTTTGGTTCATCCTTTTAGATCTGTTGATCATCTGATGAACTTTTAGATCATCATGCTTTTAGATCTGTTCACAGATGAGTTTGAGGTGCAGCCTGACCAGGCATCCTTCCTCCCAAGCCACATGGGAGATGACAAGAAATTGCTGATGGGCTGCTTTTTGCACAGGTCTCCGAGCTGTTCCCCAGCAATCTTCTCCTGATGATGTTGCAGCAAGGAGGACAGGCGGCATGACAGCAGGGAGCCAGGGCTGGGGGCATCCCACCTGGCCACTGCCATCTCGGTGCCATCACAGCGTGTCTGAGGACATTTGAAGGGAACACCCAGCTGGGAAACTGCACAGGCCAAAGATGCTGCTGAGGGACACGTGTGTTTTCAGGGACCCCAGGAGTTGGGTGCTCACCTGAGGTGGTTGAGCGGGACTCAGCTAAAAGGTCTTGGCCCTGCTGCCCATCACCTACCAGTGATGACCTCAACGTCAATGGCACTGAAGGAAATGAGTGTTAGGGACAGATGGGCTCTAACAGAGCGGAAATTGGCACCTTTTGCATCCCTCTTAGCCAGATCCTCAGGACCATCTTTGCTCCCTCTGGGCAGTAATGGCTTGCTCTTTTTTTTAAACTTAACTCCATTTAAATCAGATTGACCAGGTTCCCTCAGCTAGAGGAGATCCAGCGGGGCCCTGAGCGCTGTGGGCTGGTGGTGGCCCCAGTCCCCATGCCACACCAGGACTGGGGCTGCAATGGGAGCTGTGCGGGAGGCTCAGCCGTGCCGGGAGACGCAAAGGAAATTGAAATAGCTGCAATGCCTGCCCAGTATTTCCCAACGAGGTGAATGCAGCCAGGCCAGATCCTGCCCCAGGGACCGGCTGGGCCTGGAATTTGCTGAAATTCCCCCTTTGCCCTTTCCAGCTTGGTGGCTTGGAGGTGGGAAGCAGAGCACCGCAAGGCACCCTGGAGAGCATGCCAGATCCCACGAGCCTGGCAGGGAGCACTCACCCCAGGGACTCCCATAGCCAGCAGATCTTCAGGAGGGTGACAGCGTGGCTGGTGCTCCACGGGGAGAGACGGGGCATGGAGGCGATGCTCACACAGCCCATTCACATTTTGACGGGTTGGATTTCCATGCCTCCCCCACCCC